GTAATCAGTGAAATTCCCTTTGGGAAAAAAGTACAAAAAATGTGAAAAACACAGCACTAGATAATAAAGGTACTCATTTTTAGTATGAGAGCTTGGAATTCCAAGGCAGAAGGAGCAGGTCCAGCTGGGAATGCATGCATGTTGTATGTCCCAGATTGCCTTGTACTCTGTCCAGAATTGACCTCAGAAACGACACAAGTATTGATCTTGAGATTACAGAAGAAATTCGTGGAGTAGGTGAATTCATGACTAATAAGCTATAAAATTGTGCCTCTGTGTCTGTGCGTTCTTCATCCTTCATTCGACCAACTGTGCATTGAACACACACACAGACACACGCACACACACACCACACGTGTGAAGGATGTAGGGGGATGGAGAAAGACACAGCAACAGGTGATTAATTTGATTCAGATATGCACATTTGAGATACCATGGTAAACCCCTTTTTCTGTTAATATATACTAAAAATGACAGGAAAGTAAAATAGGGGAGTGTGAGTGGAGAGGTACTTCTTGTACACATATGAAATTGGAACAGTGAAACATGTTGAAATGGTTTGGAGAAATAAGGAGGAGATAAGTGAGGGACAGTCTGAGTTTGATGAGGCATATTGTGCGCATGTGTGGGAATGTCACAACTAATTCCTTCATACAACATATAGATGCCAATAAAAAAGCTTAAAAGTTGCATCTGTGCTGACCAGGTGAACTATAGTTTGTATGTGGTTTGTCCTTCAGGGGTCACTTGGTGGAAGCCTAGTCCTCAGTGTGGCAGTGCTGAGACTGCAGACCCTGTAAGAGGTGGATCCTAGTGGGAGGGCTACCCCTCCCATTCTGTTTGCTCAGCATCTGTAATGTCCATTGAGTGATATTTTACTAGGTAGATGGCATATCCTTTCCTAAAGACAGAGTCCTGGGTGGTATCCTATTCAGATGCTTATTTATAGAGTTAATGTCTGGTTCAAATACGTCTTGATTTATTTTTTTCCACATCTTCTGGAAGAGTTGGTTAAGTCAGACTAGAATTTTCCCTTGAGGTCTTGTTTCTCCTTTCTCTCTTTGCTCATCATCTTCCTAGTTGATCTTAGATTTTGATTATGAAGAGAGACAAAGAGCCCTCGCTTGGGGAAAATGCTTACGCTCCAAGGCCTAAATGCTTCTAAAATGCAGAGGTTTAGTTTAGGTGTGATCAGATGCTTGTGATCCTTGTGCTGTGGTATATTCATCCCTTTGCTGGTGTTTGCAGTCCACTGGTGCTGATCGGCAAGAGAGGACTCAGGCATTCCTGGGTTTTTAGGTGGAGCACTGATAAACTACAGAAAGACTCTCATTCAGACATCCAACATGGATACCTGTCCCTGGACTGTGAATCCTGAGAAACATACCAAGAACAGGCAAAAAGGTCAATTCCAAGCTGGCTGGACTCTCTGTGAGCAGTTTTCACAATCTTGGGTGAGTGATTAATAGCAGCCCAGTCCAGATGTTTCCTATGTAGGATTTCCTCTATTCAGGATGTTTTCTGTTTCGGTGTTATTGGTATGCAAATTTATCACTAAATAATACTTTGTTTTTCCATTCAAAATCCAAACAGTGCTTTTGGTGTTGCTTAGTAAACTGTTTCTCAAAACTATACAGGGGAATAATGAACAGGGAGAAAGCTTTGAAGTAGAATAGGGTTCTACTTTTATCAAACTCTCCCCTCCCCATAGTACATGCACATGCGCGCGCGCGCACACACACACACACACACACACAAACACACACACACACACAAACACACACACACACACTGGTTATGTGATAAAGAGCATTTAAAACCAGCAGGAAAAAATAAAGTCAGTGAAAAAATCTTTTAAATGAATAGGATTATTGATTATCAAATCAAATGCGAAAGCAAAGCTTTACAGCTTTTAGAAGGAACTAAAGTGGAAAATGTTATTGCCACTGGTAAAAACTGGCTAAAGAATATCCAGGGAAGCTCTGTATAATTTCATATAACTGCTTGTGAATCTAAAATTATCTCAATAAAACTTCAATTAAAAGCAGGGCTGGGGGCTGGGAAGGTGGCTCAGTGGTAGAGCGCTTGCCTTGCATGCTTGAGGCCCTGGGTTCGATTCCTCAGCACCACATAAGCAAAAAGAAAAAAGCCGGAAGTGGCGCTGTGGCTCAAGCGGTAGAGTGCTAGCCTTGAGCTGAAGAGCTGAGGGACAGCGCCCAGGCCCAGAGTTCAGGCCCCACGACCGGACCCAAAAAAAAAAAAGCAGGGCTGGGCATGTGGCTCAGTTGATAAGGCACCTGCATGGCAAGTGCAAGGCCCTGAGTCCAAACTCCAGTGGCCCCAGGAAAACTTAATTAAAAATAAATGAACTAGGGTTCAGTATAACAAAATAAGTGAACCACTTATGCTGCCTACCTTTCTGATATTTTTTATATATTGAAAAACTTCTTAAAAACGTTGTAAAGATTTTATTATGGAACTTCTCAAATGTAGAAAAGTAGAGAAATATAAATAGCTCTATAAACTAGCACCTAGTATTCATATTTCATCATATTTACTCAAGCATTTTCAATTAAATACAGGCATCATAACTTTGCACCTCTATGTGAATCTTCATCTCTAAAAACATAAGATCATTTCCCAAAGAAACACATTTCTTCAACTTAACAAGATGAACACAATTCTTTTAAGTTCACTTGATATGTTAATTGATATTCAGATTTACCCCCATTGTCCTTAAATAAGAGTCCAAGATCCAAATGAGGGTTATAGATTGCATTTGGTTTTTGTGTTTCTAATGTCTTTTTTTGGTAGGCTAGTTGTAATAATCCCTAGTTACCAAGGATAGTGACCCTGAGGTGACATTGCAGCTCAGCAGACTTAACAGGCTTTTCTTCATGTAGTTTTTACCAGCACTACTCTACTTTGCACGATGTTGCCTTAACCAGCAAAACGTGAGAGACAGGGCTGCTTGAAGAACAGATACTTATTTACCTTTCTGGAGGCTGGGAAGTCCCAGTTCAAGAGGCTGGAGACAACTAGATATGGTTTCTGGAGAGAATTCTCCTCCTGCCCGAAAGAGGAGACAGCTAGCTTAGTGTCTCCTTATGTGGCCTTTCCTGGTGGATATTGAGAGAGGGAGAAAGAGAGAGAAAAAAGAGAGAGAGGAAAAGGGGGAGAGGGAGGAGAGGGAGAGAAAAAGATTCTAATCCCATCAAGGGCCTTCATCCTTGGAAAGATATTCATGACTTCTATATTTGCATTACAAAATTTACCTTTATATGACATAAAGGACTATGTAGCTTTGGTCTGAGTTCTAATTTCTTTGATCCATTGACTTCTGGTTTCTTTTGTTTGTATTTTTCTTGGAATAGTTTTGCCCAGTCTCTTATTCTTCAACCTTTCTAAAGCACTATGCCTAAATATATTTCTTGTCTAATTCTGCGCTGTGTGTGTGTGTGTGTGTGTGTGTGTGTGTGTGTGTGTGTGTGTTCGTACTGGGTTTGAACTCAAGGTCTCATGAGAGTAGGGAGCTTTTCTTGTTCACAGCTAGCTTTATACCTCCAGCCCAGTTTGTTGCTGGTTAATGGGAAATGGAGTCTTCAGACATTCCTGTCCAGGTTGGTTTCAAATCATAATCCTCCAGAACTCAGCTTCTTGAGTACTAGGATTATAGGTGTGAGCTACCAGAATCAACTTAACTCTGATTTTTTTCAATTTAAATTTTATTGTATAGGTGATCTACAGAGGTATTACAGTTATGTAAGTCAGGTAATGGGTACATTTCTTTTTGAATAGTGTTAACCCTTCCCTCATTTTTTCCCACTTTTTCTTCTCCCAAACCCCCTCGTCCCCAAGTTATAAACCTCCAACATTGTATCTCTGCTGAATTGGTTCACCCTTTGTCCCACCATTTTGAACTCTGATTTTAATGTATGTTACAGATTTAACACATTTATTAAACATCAATAACACTACAAAGTAATATTGAGTTAAAAAATTCGACTTCCAATCTCAGTTGATCAAAAGTTCTAGTTTGTATCTGAGCAGTCAGTGGTTGGTGGTGGCCTGGGGAGCAGGGTAGGCTATAATCGTAGGACCACGCCTTGTTCCTGCGCCTCTGGGGCGGTAGTCCGGTCAGCAGAAGCCAGGGTCAATGACTCAGAGGCAACTTGGGGATAAGGACGTCCAGTTAAGAGTCTCAGCATCACCCGATGTGGTCCCAGCGATTGTGAGAGCAGGGCCCGTAGCCCTGCAGGGGAAGAGTCCCGAGGGTGGCAGGGGAAAGGTGAATGGTTGGAGGACACCACTGCCGGGACAGGCTCATCTGTGTTCAGGGTGGGCTGCGAGTTCCTGAGGGGAGGGCCACTTCCTGTGGGGGCAGGGCATCACCATGGCATCCTGGCCCGGGGTCCACCCCAGTAGTCCCTGGGAGGTGCACTGTCAGTGTGGGGAGGCATTAGGTAACCCCAAAGATAAATTAGTTCTTGGGAGGAAAAAGTACCCTTGGCACTTTGTGGTTGGTATCCCAGCCAGAATTGTGCTTCGGTCTGGGGTTAAGGGTCAGCTCTCAGGTGGTGCCGAGGTTCGAAGAGGATGGCACAGTGCCCCAGAGAATCCCCCAGCCTCACGCTGTCATGGGGCTCAGGGGTTCAGGCATTCATGGCTGGAGGGAGGGTCCGGGCTGGGCTCCTGGGCATCTCTTGGCTGGCACCGCAGGGAGGGCTCCTGATGCTTATGTTTTCTGGGAGGACTCGTGGCAGGAATGTGGCAGAGAGGGGGGCAGGGCACCATCATGGTGGCAGGGGGAGCCTGGAAGAGCTCTTGAGGACTTCCCACCTGGAGTTGTGGAACAATTCCACAGGCCTCCGCCCCATGCTGAGGGGACCCCGGACCCTGTTCTGGTCTCTCACAAGCCGTTATTCCCTAACAGGGGTCGGGTCCGGCCTGGGCATCCACTCGGGCCTGGGTGTTGGCTCTGATCTGGGCCTGGCTTGTTCCTAGGCCTCAACTCGGGCCGGTGCATTGGCTTGATCTTGGACCTCAACTCGGGCCGGTGCATTGGCTTGATCTTGGACCTCAACTCGGGCCTGTGCATTGGCTTGATCTTGGGCCTCAACTCGGGCCTGTGCATTGGCTTGATCTTGGGCCTCAATTTGGGCCTGGGCACCAACTTGGGCCTGGGCATCAGATTCTGCTTGGGCGTCTGCATCAATCGGCTCCAGCCCAGGCGTGGGCTCTGGCCCTGGAGTTGATTGCAGCCTAGCAGGCCCTGCGGGTTCTGCTCGGTCCACCAACTCCCGGTCTTGCCCTCGTTTCCATTGCTGGTACTGTTCGGGCTGCAGGATACGCACAAAGACATCCATGGAGAAGCTGACCCTGGCCTCCCTGCGGCAGCACTGGGAGGCCACTTTGCCATAATCGATCCACCACAGGGTGGCAAAGTTGATGGCCTCAGCGCAGTGGAAGCCGTGGTTGAAGCCAGCAGGGTACCCGTAGGGTCATTTGACTGAAAGGGATGCCACTATCCTGGAGCTCGCGGGGCGAGATCAGGGCTACCTTGTGCCGCAGGAAGGCCTTGCCGCCTCTTGCACTGTCTGGAAAGAGCTCCCATGCTAGGCATTCCAGGCGTGTGCCGTGCTCGGGTGGCACAGCATACCACGTCTTGGGGGCTCCAAAATGCACATAGTTGATGCTGTACAGGTCCATGTCCTCCGTGTGCCAAGAGAAGGTGGTTTCCACATGCTGAAGTATAGGTAGGGTGTGTTCACCCCCTGGATCAGGACTCCACATTCCTGCTCCAGCAGGTCCTGGGTGGTCCCCAGGTGGCTGGTGTTCCAGGACTTCGTGCTTTCATCAAACAGGGAGCCATTGACGTCAGCACCATAAATAGGTGGTGAACCATATATGAGGTTCTTCCAGTACTTTTGCTCCAAATCTTCAAAAGTGGGGTAGGGTGCGATAGTCTCCACTGTTTGCCAAACGGTGGTACTGACCCACTGTCATGGCTTTCTTCTTCTTGTGATATTGGGTAAACACACCTGTCCTTCCGCAGACCATCTGCTGCAGGGGAGTTGCGATCAAGATGTCGTTGATGTTGTCATAGGACCGTGTGGCTCTCCACTCCTTAGGGGGAATTACCTTGGCTCTCCCAGTTCGATGTGCGCCTTGGGATTCCATGTAAGCAATATATTTGTTGAAATCTGCAAATTCTTCCATGCTTGGATGGAATGTCATGATAGTACATCTTGGGTTCTGGGTACCAGAGTGACCAGACTTCATGGCTGCAATGTACTCAGCTGTAAACTCCCAAGCTCTGAATGTTGTCCAGATTCCTGAGAATATTCAGAGTTGTTCCCCATCCACCTCCTGCCCCCCCCTTTTTTTTAATGCTTTCTTTCTGGGAGGCAGGCTTGAATCTTCACACAAATGAGAGAGTATCCTCAAAGCCTGACTGACTGATCAGAGTGACTCCACTGTATTTCCAGTGCACTGAGCCTGTAGGTTAGGGAGTTTCATCCAAGAATAGGCCCTGGCAAGCAAAGCAAGATGGCAGAGCCAAGACTTTCTTGGTTGGAATGGTCAATGAGAGTGGTCTTCCACCAACAAAGTTCTGATCCCGATGAAGACAGCAAGGCTCACTTCACAAGAAGATCTGTGGAGGATGCATGGTTTTATACCTGAGCAGCCCTACCCACCCCGGCACAACCACCCTCGTGGTGTAACCACAGAACCACCTCCCAGTCTCAAATCCCAGTTAATCCGAACCACCCTTTAATAAACGAATCAAGTGTTGGGGCTTGAACTCAGGGCCTGATCACTGTCCCTGAGTGTTTTTTGCTCAAGACTAGTGCTCAGTCACTTGAGCCACAGCTGTATGTCTACCTTTTTGGTAGTTAAATGGAGATAGAGTCTTCTGGACTTTCCTGCCCCAGCTGGTTTTGAACTTCAATCTTCAGATCTCAGCCTCCTGAATAGCTAGTACTAAATGTTTCTATATGAACAGAAAAGCTCACTAGGAATACATACATTGGTGAACTTTATGCAACTAACTACAGCACTAAGGCACAGAAAATCAAAACTGACAACTGTAAGGTAAGAAATTTGCAGTCGTGCTAGGAGTTTGGGATTTTCACATCATTCTCTAGAAAAGTGCAGCCTTGAAGAAAAATGAACAATTCTTTGGACACCAGTGGCTCATACTTGTAATCCTAGCATGTAGGAGGATGGATCTGAGGATCACTCAAAGCATCCTGGCCAGGAAAGCCCATCAGACTCTTATCTCCAAATAACCATCAAAAAGCCAAAGGTAAATCTCTGACTGAGGTGGTAGAGTGATAGCCATGAGCAAAACTTCTCCAGGACAGTGCCCAAGCTCTGAGTTTGAGCCCCATTAGCTGCACCAAAAAACAAAAGAAATCTCCAATATCAACTAGTGGCCCATGCCTATAATCTTAGCTTCAGGAAGCTGAGAGCTAGGTATTTCAAAGCTAGCATTTCAAAGCTAGCCAGTTAAGAATAATTGGAGACCCTTATCTCCAATTAATCAGCAAAAATTGGGAAACTATGTAACAAAGGTAGGAGGACAAACTAGTGAGAAGTAAGGGAATTATTCAAGAAGTGATACTGATCTTGAAAGGTTTATCTCTCAAATAAGAGAAATAGGAGTCTACCTCTTGCCACCTACTAAATAGATTAGAGATAAATTAGAGACTGCTTAAATCCATTTATCTACTGAGGGGTGTCAGGGTTGGTTCCATATCTTAGCTATGGTGAATAATTCTGCCATAAACATGGTTGTGCTGGTAGCTTTGGGATTGCTGGGTCATAGGGAACTCTATGTGGAATCTTTTGAGGAACCTCCATACTGCTTTCCAAAGTGGTTGAACAAGTTTACACTCCCACCAACAATGCAGTAGGATTCCCTTTTGGCCACATCCCCTCCAACATCTGCTGTTACTAGATTTCTTGATTATAGCCATTCTGACTGGGGTGAGGTGGAATTTCAATGTTGTCTTGATTTGCATTTCTTTTATGGCTAGAGAAGTTGCGCATTTCTTCATTTGTCTATTGGCCATTCTTATTTCCTCCTCAGAGAAGTCTCTCTTTAAGTCTTTAGCCCACTTATTAATGGGGCAGTTGTTTCTTTGAGGATTTGTTGTTGGGGGATTTAGCCTTTTGAATTCTCAGGATGGTTTATAAATGAGACCCTTGTCTGTTGCATGGCTAGTGAAGATCTTCTCCCAGTCCGTGGGCTTTCTATTGATCTTGCTAGCTATGTCCTTTGCCTTGCAGAAGCTCTGCAGTTTCATGCAATCCCATTTGGAATTCTATGCCTCCATCAGAAAGAATGACATTGCCCCATTTGTTAGGAAATGGAAAGACTTGGAAAAAATTATATTAAGTGAAGTCAGCCAGGCCCAAAGAAACATAGGTCCCAAGGTTTCCCTTGCTTGCAATGACTAGTACATGTCTAGGACAAGCAGAGAAGGTCAAAGGCTATGTACATATGACCATATGAGATGGTGTTAACCGAAATGTACCCCAAGACAGGGACACAAGGTTTTTTTTTCTTCCTTGCTTGCTATTGTTTTAAATCTACTTATCATGCACTATGTGATTCTTTTGTTTCTTTTGTAAGTTCTTCCTCCATGGTATAACCCCTGGTTTCACTGTAGTTGATTCTGGTGTTCTGCATCTTGTTTATACATTTTTGTGATTTGGGGAAAGGAAGGGGTATAGCAGAATGCTTAAATGGGGATGCAGGTTGACCCATTGTGACGATGAGATATACAGGACCCTATGTTGAAAATGAACTTTACTATGTTGGGGGGGGGAGGGAGGAGTTGGGGAGGTGGGAGGGAAGAGATGGTAGGGGAAAATCAAAGGAGGAGGTAACAATGCTCGATAGGAAATGTACTCATTACCCTACTCGTGTAACTGTAACCCCTTTGTACAGTATTTTTACAATAAAATTATATAAAAAAGACTACTTAAAGAGAAATCCTAAAACAAGTAGAGAATATAATAAAAGTGTCTTCATGAACTCAAAGTTGGAAGAAATGCCTCACAGAATTGATAATCCCAGAAAATGGAAAAGATGGGAAGAACATGAATTTAAGGCCAGCCTGAGCTATATAGTGAGGTGGTATTAAAAAAAAAGACTAGGGCTACAACATTTATAAAATGAGAAGACCAGAGTTCAATCACCATTACTGAAAAAACAACAGATAAGCAAACAAAAATGCCTTTGGCCTGGGGCATAGCTCAACTGAGTGTGTTACAGAAAATTTTAATATATTTAAATAATTTCAATATAAAGACTTTAAAATATAATTTTATATGATCATAGGCACAGAGGTATTTGACCTTTGTGTTTCTCCTCTGAGAGTGTCATCCTTTGGTCTCATTGTGCGTGAATGCCTAGAGTCCTATAAAATTTACCATGTCCTGGTGTATTTTAGATCTAGCTTCCACATATGAGAGAAAACATTTATAAGCTTTTTTTTTTTTTTGGTCTGTCATGGGGCTTGAATTCTGGGCTTGGGTGCTGTCCCTGCACTCTTCAGTTCAAGGCGTGTGCTCTACCTCTTGAGCCACAGCGCCACTTCTTGTTTTCTAATGGGTTTTTATTGGAGATAAGAGTCTCACGGACTTTCCTGCCCGGGCTGGCTTTGAACCTCCATCCTCAGATCTCAGCCTCCTGAGTAGGTAGGATTACAAGCGTGAGCCACCAGCGCCCAGTGTATCAGCATATTTTTTTTTTTTTTGCTAGTCCTGGAATTTGAATTCAGGGCCTTGGTGCTGTCCCTGAGCTTCTTTGTGCTCAAGGCTAGTGTTCTAATTCTTGAGCCACAGTACCACTTGGATTTTTTTTTTAAGTAGTTTATTAGATATATGAAATTCACAGACTTTCCTCCAGGGATAACTAAACTGTGATCCTCAGATCTGTTTCCTGACTAGCTAGGATTATAACTATGAGCCCTAGTGCCTGGCTATCAGCAGAGGTTTTTTTTTTTTCTTTCTGCAGCTTGAGAACTGTCTTCTAGGTCTTTGATTGTCTCCGTTATTGTCTGGTTATTTTTTATGGGAATTAAACTTTTAACTTACCATTTTTCTTGTATTTCTGTGGCTTGTTCTGCTCATTTGAAACCCTTTTGGTTTTAACTTTGTAGAGGACTGTAGTCTTCCTAACAGGTTGTTCTCAGTTGATTAGCCAGACAATGGCTTGCTATTGTGTTGGGATTTGCTTATCTGGGATCAGATTTTGTTGAGACCATTAAGTGTAAGATTAGAGTTTAGTTGTGGGAGGTAGAGATGTTAACACTTGTCTATGAGTCAGGCTCATAGGTTGTTGGCAGGGGAGGGTTGGAGAGTAGTTTTTCAGAGAGATCTATGTATGGGTCAGAGAAATCTAATGTCATAGAGAAGTTTGATGAAAAGGGCAGAAAAGGAGGTTAGGGAATGATTGCCAAGGAGGAGACAGATAAGGGAGAGAGAACTTGTGGTCTACACTACTGAAGAAAATAAGGCTGAGAGTCAATTCATCAGACTCCTTAACACTAACATTGCCCACTCTAAAAAGCCTAAGTCAGTTGTATGTATTCCTCTATCTAAACACACCTTTAATTTTGGGTGGAGAAGGGTATTATGGTGAAGAAAAAGATGTGAATTTGTGTATTTGAAACTGATGAGTAATTCATTTGTAAGAACCAGTATGGACCAATACAAAATGAAACGAAAAGGAATCAAAGCACCAAAGTCAAAATAACAAAACAAAATATAAAATCAAAAAGAAACACAAAACCCTACAATTGCTTAGACTTTAAATCAGAGATTTTAAACCACAGATATGTATTCCCCCATCTAAATACTCCTTTACTTTTGGTTAGAGAAGAGTATGATGATACAGAAAAGGAGATTATATATATTTACACCTAGTGAGAAAATCAATTGTAAGAGTCAGGACAGGGGCTGGGAAGGTGGCTCAGTGGTAGAGCGCTTCCCTTGCATGCATGAGGCCCTGGGTTTGATTCCTCGGCACCACATAAGCAAAAATGAAAAAAGCTGGAAGTGGCACTGTGGCTCAAGTGGTAGAGCTCTAGCCTTGAGCTGAAGAGCTGAAGGACAATGCCCAGGCCCAGAGTTCAGGCCCCACGACAGGACTCCCCCCCCAAAAAAAAAGAGTCAGGACAAATCAAACTAAAATGATAATACAAGAGACAGGGAAAGGGATAGGGGTATAGAGGGGAGAGGGAAAGAAAAAGATACTATCCCATTAA